TCTCCCACTGAAGTGAGAGCCAGAACTGTTGTGCAACATGTTTTAAGTTGTATTATGCTGACTCTTGAGTTTGTCAAAAATATGTATTAATATTTACAGCACAGTTATCATTTACTAAATGTTGCTTGGGTTTTTACGTGAATTGTTTTCACTTTTATGATGGTTTGTGTGCAATAGATGTTGCAAAGGTTATTGCCAATATGTAATGTTATTTTTTGTGTAATATTTGTACTTAAATTGTGTTGCACTTTTCTGTTCAGCTGATGATTTGATGAGCATATGAATGATTATTCAGTAGCTAAAAAACTGTTGTCTGTCAGTCTTCTCAACTGTTGTGATTAAAAACACATTTCTCTCACAACTGACAAATATCTGCATGCATATGTAAGAATTGTCTTGACCCAATTCCAGCCATAGTTTCAGATGCTGGCTGCAAATGTCCATACAAATATCTTCCACTAAAGTGAGAACCATGACTGTTGTGCAATGTTTAAGTTAAGTTTGTAAAAAATGTTTACAGCACAGTTTTCAGCACCTTTATGATGGTTTGCATGCAATATGTTGGAAAGATTGTTGCATATAGGTAATGTTATTGTTATTTTTGGGTTTGTTTTTAATTGGATTGCACTTTTCTGTTCATCAGATGATTTAGTAGGCATATGAATGATTGATTATTAGCTTAAATTTTTTTACTGGTAATTAAATGTTAAATAAAAATGAAGTATGAAAAAAATGTTTTGATGACTGATTAAAAATGTTCGGACCCCAGATTGTCTGGATGTTGAAGGTAGTGGATCTCTTGCTAATTTAGTTGGGGACCCCTGTGCTACTGAATGAAATGGAAATGAAAATTCAAAACATAAGAAATTTTATACGGGTGTGACATGCAAATGGTGTCTTTACAGTTTTGGTTTAAATTGTATTAGAGCAACTATTTATTGCAATGATTTTGACCATTGCCAGAGTGTTGGATTACTTTTTGTTCTGCAGGATTTCTTTGTTTTGGAGTTTGACTCATTTTTATGCAACAACTTTGTCCAGTCTTTGTATCTCACCACGATAGTGTGCTGGAACTAATACTTTTAGGTTTAAGCCAGTAATTCATGACATCCTTTAATGACCTAGGTTTTCATGACATGCTGTTCATCTGCAGACAGAATGATTAAAGTCAGAACAAGATCTGCTAACAGTCATTCTTAGATATCACTTGTGTTTATCTTTGTTTTCTATTGACTTTGTATCAAATCTTGCTAAGATGACATGAGGCCTCTCAACTGCATCAACAGTGGACACAGTGAGAAGTGTGGAGAGACAGTGACAGAGAGAAGCAGAGGCACAGAGAAGGACTGCTCAGGACTGTGACTCCAGCTGGATGAAAAGAACCTTTTTATGGTAAATTGTTTTAACAGAGATACGCTGGTGATGATTGTGATGGATGATCTTGAATAAGCAAAGAACGTTGAATTTTTTATTTTTTGGCTGTTGAAGAACCTGAGAAGATTTTTGAAACATCTGCTGAGAGTGAGTACAGAACAGCTTCAAGATGCCTCCTTACTTTTCCAAAGAGGATTTCTGCCAGCTTCTCCAAAAAGTGACGGTGTTGGAGCCCAAGATTCATCGTTTGGAAGAGATGAATGCTTTGGAGAACTCAACATGTGTTAAAATGGGTGAGAAGGCTGAGATGAGAGATCAACATGGAGAGGAGATGGAAGCTGCTTCTGAGGGTAAAACTGTATGGAATCTGAGGGATCTGAGACCAGATCCAGAT